GGTATCCAGGCTTGTCCACCATGTCACAACCGAGACAAAATGGACTAATGGAGGGTGTTCCCAGTGGACACTCGGTTGGTGCAGAGACTACGTTCACAGACGTTTCCTGAACGCTTGTTCCTTTTGGGGATGTACGCAATGCACTGCCGAAGATTAATAGGGACTTGACCACCAATTGACCTATGAATCTCTTTCGGCGTAGGCTGGTCACCAGCCGTCCTTTCACCGTTCAAAAGCCGCTGGTCCCTGAACTCTGCTTTCTGTTTTTCCACGCAATAGTCGCATCATATTAAACTGATGCAGCGTTGCTGCTCAATGGCGCAACTCTCTGTATTCCATGTAGATAGTAGCAACCAAATTATAGGGCCACTGCTTTCGAACGAACATTCAAAAGACACTTTCAACACAATCATTGCTGCAAATTTTACATTATTTGCCTCCACTCTAAATGTTATAACATAGGATTTTAACAATGCTTGTTTCCACGCCTGTTCGTTGCGGCCTTGGTTGTCTCTCACCTTCCCTTTTTTCCGAGGTCCGGAACTTCTTGGGGATCTGGGATAGGACCGAGAAACCGCTTTTGTCCGGGACAGGACAACCAATAGGGACCTATGAAGCACATGGCTGTACAACAAACGGATACAACTGCACTCAATGCCATGACCGTTGTCCAGTGATGATAGATGGATTCGAGAACTTCACACTCCTGACAAGAATACATACTCCTGAAAAATCCAGACGCAAGAAACTGACGTTTCGCCCACCTGAATACCCACAAAGACGATTCTTCATGAAGCCCCCATCGTAGATTCGCCTCCGTCCTTATGGCGGCCTTGCCCAAGATACCTGATCAAATAACAGAGGAAATTGAAGGTCATTTGACTGCGGATATCGGAGTGTGAAATCAGTCGACCACCTGGTCTGCCAGTTGTATATTTGTGCACCGACAAATTTCTGACAGTGTCCCAGGACGTGGTGGGTTTTCGCCTGGCAAGCGTTCTCCCTATAAAAAGCCACAAATGTCCGTGTAACAACACTCCGTCATGGCGGATGTGACTCGCCACCGAATAAAGTCACTGCCCAGAACAAATTACTGACAAGTCGACCAGCATCATTATTCAATATTGCCCTGACACTTTCGATAATAAGTTACACCATGCCTATATGTATCGTCTTCATTACACATGTAGTGCCCTGACTGTGTACACTACGCACGCTAGAATTCAACGTTTCGTCATTCATTGAAGACTCTATCCCTGATGACTACTCACACAATTTCCGCAGCCTGTACAAAATTCGGCTTACTGCCGACTGCACTCATAGCAACGTTTTTGTTGCGAAGCAGTATTGCATGTAAATATTGACCATGCTTTGCTTGGTGTGTCTCGACAAATTCAAGAATAAACTATTTATTTATTTATTTATTTATTGTAAACTCTGATGGAACTGTCATAACCGACCGTGCAGTTATATGTTCGAGCTTCCATGACTAATTCATGTCTACTTATAGCATTTATGCGAATGAAGATCCTTAGCTCAAGCTGCTACACAGAGGCAGAAATACACTCCAAACTGTTGAATTCACACTTTGTGACACATGCCGCCAACTCAGATTAGTTCGACCATCATGCTCACCAGGCCCTGACAACATCCGTCCAATACTGGTAAAGCACGGAGGTCCAGACATCCCCTGTTTTTGTTTAATATATTTATACTTCCTATGCTCAATGGGGAGTATCCTATACACTGGAAACAATCAACTATAATACCAAGACACAAAAGCGGATTTACGCAAGATGTAAAAATTACCGCTCAATCCACCACATAGGTATTATCTCCAGAATCGTGGAGAGGACAAATAAAGAACGCATAATAGAATATTTGAGTTCTAGGAGCCTTCTCTGTAAACATCGGCAAGGCTTTTGAAAGGTAGGTCGTGCACTACCTGTCAGTTAGATTACCTTGATTAGGTGACTAGAGAAAGCGAAGCCGGAAGTGCCATCATCGTAATATTTCTTGACATCCAAAAGGCTTTGGACCGCGTCCCACACAATTTATTGTTACGTAAGCTTATGTCCTATGGTATCACAAATTTGCTTCTAGTGCTCGTCTTTCTACCTTGAGGGTAGAAAGCAAGTAGTCAAAATCGGTAACTATATATCTGAAGCAACCACAATCTCTAGTGGAGTGATTTCAGGTAGCGTGCTATGCCCGCTTTTATTTTTTTCTATTTCAACGATCTCCTTGATGAAATCTTGTATGGAAAGCCGTTCCTTTTCGCTGATGATGTTAAAACTTTCTGTTGTTCCGCCCCTGGGCGATGTAGTCCTAACCTAGCCTATATTCAGTCTGACTTGTCCGCATTGTAGCGCTGGAGTAACCCCTGGAAGTTGCACTTTGCCACTGACAAGAGTAATCTATTGTACCACGACTGTTGCCCTTCTCTGAACATCCTTACCTTACCCCTATTCCTGTGTGTGGCGCAGTCTAAGACCTTGGTCTAAGAAATTCTGTTTCGTTTAATTTTTAGAGCATGTTATATTCTTGTAGGCTTCTGTCAGAAAAGTAATCACCTGTATAAGTCAAACTCTTATTTTGAGGGATTCCAGGCTTCAAGCCCATAAAATATGTGTTAGGCAGAAGCTTGAGTGCTGTACGTTAATGCATGGTAATCTGAGAAAAGTGATGTTATAGCACTAGAAAACATTCAACTATCATTCACAAAAAGGTTGTTGAACAGGCCTAATACTATGACCGACCGTGAGAGTAGCGAGGCGCTAACTCTGGAGCCCCTATGGCTACGCAGACTCAAACTTAATCTGTGCCTTCTATACCGCTTACTATTCTGATTAAGCTTCACTGCTCAGCCACAACTCGAGTTCCAGACTCGTACGCACTATGAACTAAGAAACAGCGAGTGCACGGTGAAAATACCAAAGTGTCGCAAAAAGCTCCGCTCAAATTTTTTCTCCGTAAAATATGCGTTATTTTGAAAGGAACTTCCATCGATTGTTAGAAACTGTACTATCTATCCACAATTCAGACGCATGCATAATATTCACCTGACTGTTGCAAATATCTGGTCAACACTAAGCCAAACGATGACTCTAGATGATTTGTATGAGAAAGGTCCTGGATATATGTGAAAGTCTCCATAGCCTCTACTCGTTTCAATAATGTAAGGTTGCATACATATAGTTTCATTCTGGAGTGTATATTGAAGAACGATTTTACTCCTATCAATCCGTCTAACCAATTCTGTGTTCTCCTTTGACGCACTGGTACGTAGATGCACTACGCAACCAGTTAAAGCTGATGTTTCTGTACCATCGTCGCCACTCGCCAAGATTTTCCATCAAATTGTGACTGGCCTATTGACAAGCGTTTGTATTCGTCATTATGTTTTATGCCACCTTATGCTTTATCTTCTTTGTTGCACCGTTGGTCATGACTGGGCTGATCTCTTGTGGTGACGGATTATAGCTTCCAAAACACTAAGTATACCAATGCAAATTATATTACTACTGACTCGCTGGCTTAAAACAAAAAGTGCTATACTTGATTGATCCGCATGACAGAACGGGCTGAGGCTTCATCGCCTATAATGTACCCGTAACACATTACTAAAAAAGACATTTGATACCTAGTTCTGAGGGCTTATTTACAATTTACTATCCTGCCACACAAACACAGAGCCAAATTGGAGCATGGAAATGCGGGTGAAACACATCGTGGAAATACCCTGCATGGAAGCAAGTCCCCTGGGGACAGTTCCACGGATGACCGTAGTACTTTACTTGAACTTTCTGCAAAATCTACATATGTTATTGTACCCAGGTGCTTTATCTCTCTGCATTGCCAAACTGCTACTTAATTCAAAAACGCATGTGGGAACAATGGATCAAAAGACGAATAATTAACTAGATTATGCGCTCACGTTGTACATGTAGGTAAGACCAAACAATTGGACTGTGCTTCGAACTGCTCAGGAATAAAACGTATATTTATTTATCTATTTAGTAGATTGACGCGTAAGCTCCGCCCCCGCAATGTTATCAATATTAAGTCCGCAACGTTAACTAACCTCCGCGGTCACCCACTGAAACTGCATAAACCACAGTCTGATAGAAGTAGGACGGAAACTCGTATGTCCAGCCGAGTTATACATCGCTGGAATTCGCTTCCAGATCACGTGGTTAGGGAAACTGCGGTTAAGGGCTTTGCGCGCCAGCTCCATGCGTTTGGGTGGCAACACCAGACCTTTGCTTCTCCTAACTGACTCAACTTCACTATTCAGCTCCTTTATTAACGACTAAAATATCCTGGTTTTCTAGTTGCTTAGCTCTTTCCACTTGCTCTTTTTGCCTTCTAAGGTTACCAACTTTTCTTACTTACTTCACGCAACAGGCACAGAAGCGAATGATATCACAGGATAAGTAGGCATTAGATGGATGAACAGAAAGTGATGCGGTCTTGTTTTAAGTGCATCGGTATAAAAGTCCGTCCAATGGTTCAGCGACCAGCTGATCCAAGAACAGTCACGGGATAATTCTATCGTTCTGGTCCCGCTTGAACTTGAACCACCTTATCCGCGTTACCGACGCAGTAGTGACAACTGTTGCCTTGCATGTGTGCACTGATCGGTTGAAGGTGGAGTAGAACGCACTGCCGATCCGACACAAAACACGTTTCTAACTTATTTCCTTCAAGCAACGGTGCTCATAGAATGAAATAATCAAGCAATTTTCCCCTGTCACCAGTGTATGTAAGCACATTCAATGCTTGCCTTAAACTTGCGCCTGTTCAACGAAATATAGGCTCACATAATTGCACTTTCAAGCACATCAAAACGCCTTAATAGGATTGACATTAAATCCAATTTCCGTATTGGGCCTAGTTTCATGCTGTGATAAGTTGCTTTGTTTTGTCGCTTTGCTTGACTTTCGCCATGATGGCGCACACCAGTATTTTGCGCCCGTTCTCGCCGATATCGTGTTGCCATGGAGTCTGACGGTGTTATTGTTGAACCTGCTCACGTATGCCTCCTATACGAGGTGATATTTAGCTTAGCCTGTTTCTGAGGACAATGTTTCAAACGTTGACGATTTAAAGCGAAGGTCTAAAGGTGATGGTACTGAGAATGGCGATGCCACGTCAAACAGTCAGACCGAAGAGCTGATCGTTGGGAAAGCTAAAGTTGTGGACATTCCTGAGAAAATTGCTGATGGTTAGTACTTTGCGGCAATTTTACTTATATCCTTAGAAGGTCCCGATCAAAGCGGTGATAAAGAAGGTAATTTTGATGCATAAATGTTTCACACTTTCAGAATCCTCAGACAGCAACGGGACTACGGAATCTAAGGTCTCCGGTACGTGACATTTGATTTTGAACCACTATCTCACCGTCATACTGGCCGTAAAAGAGTTGGTATTTCCTGATGTAGTCGGTGATTCCGCCTTACTGCAGATGTGCGTCTTTTGGTTGTTACAGATGCTGATGAACACGACGAAGAAACCAAAGCAGAGGATGAACTGAACGGTAGCTTGGAGGCGAAGGGTAAGTCTTTATCTTTGTAACACTCGTCCTGAAGATACTAAATGCCCTGACTCCGACGACGAACAGTCCGCTCCAAACTCTGAGAGCAATGAGGAAGACAAAGAATAACTATCTGCATTTTTAACTCACTGCATTTACACTTTTTGATAACACTTTTCATCGTTTATAACACCGCACTGTCTTCTCCTCGGTTGTTGACTCCCGAGATCGGCGTATATATGCACATTTTGTCAATATTGTTGAGACGCTGATCTTTGTCCCTGAGGCTTATTCAGCGTCAATTTGGAGCATTGTCGTTCACCTGCATATACGAGAATTTCATAAAACAATTTTAGCCGGTTTCTGTCTTCTCAGTACACTGGGAACAGGTAAACTAGTGCCCATAGCAAGTTCCCGACTGGCAGGCGTTTTGTCTTCATATCGCAGATAACACTGTCCGGGATCATTGGGGTTGGTGCTGGCTGCATTTTGTTAGCGCAATAACTCAATACAATACTTTACCAGAGCATGACAACCTGGCATTGCCTTCCCAAGTTAAGGAAGCTAGCATTGGTATCATCTTATAAATTGCTAGAGGAGTCTGACTGCAAATTACAGGCTGGCGAGTGTAGTAGTCAAACTCCTTTAGAAATCGGTGATTCATTTATAGGCATCAGATTAGATTCAATCTACTTAACAATGTGCAACGGATTCCGGAAGGGATTTTCGTGTCTGACGAATCCACCAGCGGCTTGCGAATGTCGGGCGGTTGCACTGGATAACGGTCACGCACTGGAGGTGCTTTTCGCCGAATTTTCGAAGGCATTTGACAAGGTACCCCATTAGAGGCTCTCGCAAATGCTAACCTCCTGCGGTGTATTTGGCAACGCCCTTCATTGAATGACTGCATTCTTTGAGGGTGGAGCACAGTGTGTACAAGTAGGCCGAGGCCTATCGTTTATGCGGTCTATCCCCAGTGGCGTGCCGCAGGGCGTGGACCGCTGCTGTTCTTTATCTATATGAATGACCGACCTGCGGGGCTTGAGGTACCATCGCTGCTATTTTCTGATGACCTGAAGCTGTAGAGCATTATCGATGTTCCTGGGGGTTCCGAAGCTATTCAGCGAGCAATGGATAAGCTTTGGGACTGGCCTACTTTATTGTTACTGTTCAGAGATCCTGCAAAGTGCTCCGTTCTTCGTTTTGGAGGAGGTTGTCCTCCTACGAAGTATTTGGTCAGTGCGGTGGGGTCGAACTCCCCTGTGTATCTAGCCACGTTGATCTAGGCGTCTTACACTCTTCGGTTTTACACTCCGGCGACAACTGGAAGATGGCCGCAAGCAAATGTTTCCGCATGTTGTGGTTAATCCGACGTTCTTTCGAAGTCTTGACGGGCGGCATCTTTACGAGGCTGTTCTCGGCTTTCGTTTGGTCTCATCTGGAATACTGCGTCCAGGGTCGTCTGTCCTGCCTCGTCCGGCACAAAATGGAGCTGGAGAGGGTTTTACGAGTGGGTGCTAGGTTAGTCGAGGAATTAGGGGGACGGACGTACCCCGAGCGTCTACTTAGTTTGGGAATGCATTCGATGCACTACCGAAGGCCTAGAGGAGACCTAATCCTAACCTATCGAATCTTGACTGAGAAGGTTGGTCCAGATTTGTCTTGGCTATTCAGTCCCGCTAGATTGTCTGTTCTACGCGGTCATTCGTTGAAGCTGGACAAACCGCGGTCCGATCGGATTAGGGCGGAAATCCGGCTGTCACGCCGAGTTATCGACCGCTGGAACATGCTTCTGGAAAGTGTTATATGGGAATCTACGGTTAAGGGGTTTGAGCGGCAACTTGACGCTCTTGGGTGGCAACACGAAACCTTTCCATTTTCCTGAGTAACTCGCATCTTCGTACTTCGATTTTCTTTTCTCTACTTTGCTTTGCGTATTGGTATTATTTTCTTATTTAAGTGCACTTCCCTATTCTTTACCTCCGATTTCACTTCCTACCCTTTGCTTACTTCACGTGACTGCCACAGCAGGGCAGGAAACGTGGGCATTAACTGTTTGGCCAGGGTGCGATACGGGTGTTTCCGTTTTAGATCCATCAATAACTGAGCACTTCATCAATTCCTGGCTCAACGATCCACTCAAGATGGAACACTCACGGGATTCTCCTATCGTTCCAGTCCCCATCTGAACTGAACTGAAATTGAAGTTGAGATCGTATGGGATATCTGGAGCCACCCTTAAATGGGTTTCTGCTTTCCTATAGGGCAGAGAACAGTGTGTAAGCGTTGAGCGTAGCCTTTCGCTTAGACAAGCTTTTCTTAGTGGCGTTCCGCAGGGCCCGGTTCTAGGGCCGTTGCTTTTCGCAATTTATGTCAATGACCTACCCCAGGAGTTTGGAGTACCGTCGCTATTGTTTGCTGATGACCTCAAGCTCTGGAATATTGTGGATATCCCTGGTGGCTCTGAGGCACTTCAGAGTGCTTTGGATGGGCCCTGGGATTGGTCAACCTTATGGTTGATGCCCACAAATCAGGCGAAATGTTCTGTCGTCCGCATTGGAGGTGCTAGTCCCCCCACGCGCTATGTAGTTGGTGGAAGTGAACTCCCTGTTGTCATTCAGCAGGTTGATCCATAAATAAATAAATAAATACTTTATTCTCGACTATGCGAGGCACGCCCATGGAGGCATGATCAGGTATGTACAACTGTACAAACATTTTATGGCAACTGTGCAGTAATAGTAGAAAATTGGTCGTATGTCCATGGAAAAATAAATAAATAGATAGTTTATTCTCAGATTCATACAGACGCGCCAAATTAGGCATGATCAAGGTTTAAAACTGTTGTGTATCACGATGATACTCCAAGTTCAATGGTGTATAGTTGAAACGGTGTCAAGAAGAGTTGATATGTGAATATAGTCGACTTGCCAGTATGTATTTGTGGGCTGTGACTTTATTCAGTGGCGAGTCACATCCGCCACGTCGCAGTGTTATTAAACAGACATTTGTGGCTTTTTATAGGGAGAACGCTTGCCAGGCGAAAACCCACCACGTCCTGCAACACTGCCGTAAAGCATTTTGAACATTAATGTTGAACTGGCAAAGCCGCTTGACGACTGGTTTCACCCTCGGTTTTTCGCGGGGTAATGGCTTCTAATTTCCTCTGTTAGTTGGACGGGTATTTTGCTCTGGGACGCCATGATTTTTGGGGTCGCTGGAGTAGAGGGACATCGCGATTTTTCTTCTTGTTGTATGTCCAGGTGAGCAAAAGTTTCAATTTTTCCGCTGTCCAGATTTTTCAGATGTATACTGTATGGGAGTATGAGGATATGTCCAGTTCTCCATACTGGACAAGGGTTATGGTGATTGTAGGTTGGTCCTTGCGGAGTTTTACCATCCTCCATGTCAGTCCTCGTGGATTGTTCCGTCCGTTTTGGGCCAAAATCGTTCCTCAGTCCAATCCCAGATCTCCAAGATGTCCCGGACCTTAGAGAAAAGGGAAAGTGAGAGTCAACCAAGAGAAGACCGCAAGAACAGGCATGGAATTGAATATTGTTAATGTCTTGTGTTATAACATTTGGGCTTGAGACAAAAGCATGTACACTGCAACAATAATTATGCTGAAAATGTCTTTTGAGTATCCTATAGAATCATTAGCCGTATAGGTGGATTGCTATTGCCTGTGTAGGGACAAGAGCGTTGCACCAGTAAGTAAAGTACGAGTATCTGTTTGATATGAGTCGATAGTTGCGTGGGAATAGAGCAAAGAGAGTTAGAATGTTGGTAGTGATTGTCAGGTGCATGAACAGCACGTAGTTGGTGTAATCCGAGTGGGGGGCATAATAAGCGAAAATAAATAGTTTGCAGCGAGAGAGTCTTAAAGCTCAATGGGTGGCAGGGCAGCGGAGGGACTGGATGCAGATATTCTAGAGGAGTAAAGTTTATTCAGATACGGGGTGGCTATTAACAAGCACTGGATCATCGCATGTGCGTGGGGCCAATGGCCATTAGCTACTTCTGAAGAGAAATGCAGAATTTATGACGACCGACATGTTGGCGCTAGGAGTGACTCAGTCGCCAGATGCAGCTATTCCAATCGGACGCTTTGTCATTAGTGTATGCCTATAGGGTCGATGAGTGTATCTATAGACCAGTGAAGGTAAGTGATAGGTCAACAGATCAGCTAAGCTGTGACGCAAACAATCCAAGAGAATGAACATTGTAAGAGGCAGCGAGCTCCGGATATCCGCAGAAATAAATGGAAGTTATGGCGACTAGCTGCTGGTAAGCAGAGATAGTGGCACTAGGAAAGAATGAATCAGTGGCTGCTGTAGCCAAGTAGCTGCTGTAGCCAAGTATCTGCTGTAGCCAGTAGGTATCACCCATACCTCATTGCTTCACTCTGGGGAATATTGGAGGAAGGCTGCTTGTAGAGGGTTCCGTATGATGTGGTTTATTCGCCGCTCCTTCTCTGTCCTAACGGCCAATATCTTTGTGAAGCTGTTCTCAACTTTCGTGCGACCTCACTTAGAGTACTTGTCCACCTTGTCTTGTAAGGGACAAAATGGAACTGGAGAGGGTTTTGCGAGTGGGTAAAGGTTAGTGCAAGGATTACGGGGGCAAACGTATCCCGAACGTTTGCTTAGCTTGGGTATGTACTCAACGCACTACCGCAGAATTAGAGGAGACTTGATTCTCACTTCCCGTGTCTTAACGGGTAAGATCCGTTCAGACTTGTCCTGGCTATTTAGTCCCGCCAAGCTGCCTAGTCTCCGAGGTCACCCGTTGAAGCTGCACAAACAGCGTTCTGACCGGGTAAGGACGGAAACTCGCTTGTCGCATCAAGTTATTGAACGTTGGAACTCGCTTCCGGCGCACGTGGTTAGGGAGTCTACGGTAGAGGGTTTCGAGCGTCAGTTAGATGCTCTAGGGTGGCAGTACCAAACCTTCCCCTTCTCCTAACTGACTAGTATCTTCAACTTTCCCTTCATTCTTTTTTAATTTTCTTCTCACCTTGGTATTATCATTATTTAGCTGACATACCTCCTCTTCTTTTCTTAGCTTACCCTTCACTCTTTTACTTCACATCAACCGGCCCGGCAGGGACTGCTGGGCAGGACAATGTGGGCAGTAATTGCTTGGACAGGGTGTGATGCGGTCTCTGTTTTAGGCTTTTCAACATCTCAAGCAGACCTGTCAATTCCCGATCCAACGA